ATGTATGTACACACACACACACACACCCCACCTCTCCTTTTCCCTCTACTACTGCTCTCTGATTTCTATGCTTTTATTACATTGAGTTCTTTTATATTATGTTCCTATCAAGATTACCTTATCCCCAAAGAGCAGCTAAAATTAATTTGCTAAATAATGGCAAATAGGTCAAAAAATATCTTTAGCCCAATAACGTTTTTGTGGCCTAAAATATGTTTGCTGGTGTACTGGATAGCTGCTTTTCTCTAAACTATAATGACTTTCTGTTTCTTTTACAAATATATTAATTAGTTTAGTATTTCAAGGAACTGTGACTGCACAATTTGGGCATTTGCTCCACCAAAGCAGATCCTCATCTCTTTCACATCTCAATGGATGGGTTTTATGAGCTGCTGTAATAAAAACAAAATAAACAAAATGAAAATCCTAACCATACGGTAGCCAACTTTCTGATGATGAACCTTTCCAAATTTTGTAGATTGGTCCTCAGTCAGCAGGCAAAAATTGTGTTACTGGACTAATACCCTAAGCCTTTCTAGTCTAGTGGGACTTGTCAGAACTTTCATTCTGGTGGAACAGCCTTAAAGAATCCAGAGTCATCTCTACAGACGATGAGATTATTAGAGTAGGACTTTAGTGGAAGGACACTAAATAGCATACATATTTATGTACTAAATATGCATTCCCTGCAAAATCTAACTGAAAGGGAGTGTAGGAACTAACAGAATGACTAGTAATATGGGAATAGCTCTGAGAAACAATAAAAAAGATAAAAAACCTAAAATGCACATTTTTATAACCTCCTTAACTCATAAGGTGTGTATAGCAAGAACACTGGACCAAGGGCAATAACCCTGAGTGTTAGCCTCCACCCAGCTACTGCTCGCTCAATCCAAGACAAGTCATTTAACCACTGTGGCCTCAGTTTCTTTATCAACAAAATGAGAGTATTGGACTAAATTTAAAAAACCCATTTCAACTCTAAAATTTTGATGCTAGATATTTAAGACTAAAGAAAATGCTTGCTATATCAAGTTTTAGCACTAGAAAGGAACATCAGCGAGTCTCACCTCTTTATCTGAGTGATTTATATCCAGAGAGTTGAAATTACCTACCCAAGGTTATACAGCATGATTCATCTGCTTTCTTTTTGTAATAAACTATAGTATGAGAACTAATCATTCTTTAAACATAATCATAGTCACTGAATCAAAGTTCAATTGTATGTAGAAATGTAGATTAATGTCCTTCCACCACCCCAACTTTCAATGGAATAAGATCAGATAAGAGTCCACAACTGGTTGCATGTCAGAATCAAATGTGTAAACCCACTTAACTTTAGTTTTTCAATCTACAATTTGAAGATAATGATACTTGTGCTAGCTACTTACTCCACAGAATAGTTCTGAGGAAAGCTCTCTATAAACTTTGAAGCACTCTATGCATGTGAGCTTCAAGTTTAATTAATGTTGGACATATTTCCAGTTAACAACTGTAAACTCACAATAGAAAACTGTTAATGCCTATTAATAGTTGACATTTATACAATACTTTTAAAATTCACAAAGTTCTTGATATACGTGACCTCATTTTATTCTTACAACTCTGTGAGTGAAGTATATAAGTATCATCTCTATTTTACAGATAAGCCCACTAAGGCAGAAACATTAAGTAATTTGTCCATGGGCACATAACCAGCACAGGCAACAAGATTCAAATCCTAATTCCAAGTCCTGGCCTCTTTCCCCTATATTGTTACAAGAAAATTACTACTTCTTTATTTCCTCAACCTTGTTTCCCTCTTCCTCAAATGTCTTTCCTTATGAAACAGTGAAAGTATGTTGAGGGATACAGAAAGACAAAGCCTCCTACTTCACTGCTGAAGGCATGAATTAGGGAAAATGGAATTATTCAAGAAAAGTAGACAAACCATTTATAGTTTTTTACTCAGAAATCTCAATACTGGATGTATATCCCAAGGAAGTCAATGACAGAAAGGAGCTGCATGTACCAAAATATTCATAGAAGTAGTATTTTTAATAGCTAAAAAGTGGAAAGAAATTATGTGCCCAATGACTAGGTGATGGCTGAAAGAAGTGTGGTATATAAATGTAGTGAGAGAACGGAAAATGTGAAAAATTCAGTGCAATGCGGAAAGACTTTTAGTCAAAAAAGCCAAACTCCTCCCAAATTTACAAGATTTCTCATCTGTAAAATGAAAGAATAGGAACTGATGTCCTCTAAGGTCTCTTCCAGCTCTAAATTTATGATCCTAAGTCACTGTATGTATTAAAGGTAATAATAAAAGGCAGCAAAACTAAAGTTAAGTACAATAGACAAAGCTGATTTCAAATTATTAAAGTTAAAGCATACATCCTTAATTTCTGTTAAACAATAAATCACAAAAATGGAAAATGACATGTAATGTCAATTGCAATCACTGTATTAGGTATTGTTGCTTAACTTTTTATAGGTAACTATAAGGGTAGACAGAATTTTGAGGAAGTCATCCTAACAAAATACATTGGTATAAGAGATTTAAAAAAAAAAGAATATGAGAAAGTACCTAGATTACTAAGGGAATATTTAAAATAAAGTTAAATGTACATCAAATGCTACTTTAATGTTCAATATTTAATTTCTTCAAGTGTTAAGGAAATTGATATTTTAAAAGGTTAGTTATTCTCAAGGGGATTTGACTTTTCAAACTCAAACAAATACCAACAGAAAAATCTGAAAAAATCTGCATGGTTTCCTTCCCTTTCCCTACCTTAAGCTGGAAAAATTTCACAAGACTTTAGACAATTATTTAGATTATTAGTACAGTTGCTAGCACATAAGAACTCTTATCTATTCACTATTACAATTCAGTCACTAAGGTAAAATGTATGTAATGTCAATAAAGATATCCTATTCCCCATATACTTAGAAAAATAAGCCTCACAACAGTCGGATCAGCAAATATTATAAAGAAAAAAAATGTTGGAATTTAAGCCTGAATTGTGCTTAGTTTTGGAAACTTTGGTAAAGGCTGATAAATGCTCCATATTTGACATTTGGGTCAATGAATTTCAAACACTATGAAATGGAAGAAATATGATTTGAATTACAAAGGAGACAAATATGACATTTAATGTTTTACATGTGAACTTTTCAAAGATTAAATTTACCTAATATTTAAGTGGTCTGATAATTTGATCTGGTTTATTTAAATTGGTAACAGTTTGAGAACAAAATGTGACATGTTCAAGAAAATCAAGATTTTCCCAGGGAAGACTATGCTAAAATGGGATTTTTAACTTACAAGGAGAGCTCTGAAAGGAAAAAGAAAAGATTGCACAGAGAAATGAAAGAACCTTGACTGAATCAAGGCTAAATGCTTTCTTGCATTGTAGCAAATTACTAGCTAAAAGATTGTCAATGTTAACATTCATCTCACTGCTGGTTCTGGAAATTTATCAACAAAAGGAAATGTATCAGGATATAAAAAGTGGCAACAAGTTAGAATGAATTTCACTGTGCTAAAGAGCCATAAAGAAGCCAGAAGGGGAGGGGGGTGTAGAAAAATTTAGAGGTCATTTAGTTAAATCCATATAAAAGTTAGTCTGAAATAAGATGCTTAAATTAAGAGCCAAATCATTTCTCTTCTTAAACAGCCCTAACAGTCTCTGCCTGGAATTAGTACACAAGGTTCTTCCTGGAAGGCATTTTCTGCCTCACTCACTAAGATAGTCTAGCAGGTTCCCTAAGAAGAAACTGGGAACATTACCCAATCCAAGACGCTCAAAATGTACTAATGCTGATGAGGGGTCCACACGAGCTAAATTAGCAATAATACAACTTTGCCTAAGGCCTCACTTAAGTCACTCTACAATGCCTCACTCTCTCATTCCAGCCCTCTCCAAATCCTGTTCAGCACCGCTATTCTGAGAAACTGATGGACACTAAGGTTCCTAGGAGAGATGCCAAGATGGTCTGCCCAGGGTTTGATTCTCCACTCTGCTTCATACTAAACTGTGTGACTTTGGGCCGATCATTTAAGATCTCCAAGCCACAGTTCCCTACTCTGTAAAATGGGAATAACATATGCTCTACCTACTTCCCAGGGTTGTTGGTAAACACTTTACACACTAGTACTAATGTGAATTATCCTCACTTACACCTCAGTCTGATATCCTATACAATTTTTCAGTAATAACTGAAGAATTTGGGGAAAGAGAGGAGAGACTTCAATCTAGGTGACTTTAATTTAGGTGACAAGTATGTTTCCCCTATTTTACCTTTTCATAGAATGAGTGTGAGTGAGGGATGAAAAGCCCAAGTGCTTGTTTCTTCAAGATCAAGTAAAGGAGTGTGGAGTGGGAGGCACTGGTCCCCAGGGAGGCTCTAGATGGGGGGAGGGGGAAGAAGAGAGTCCAAGAATGACAGCTGGGAAGGGAGGCAACAGGGCGGGACACAGGAGTACCTGGGTGTCCAGCCGCCCCAGCAGGGCAGCCCCAAGGGGGCCGGGCTGCGAAGATCTGGGGCTAGAGGGGGCCTGGGATCGTCGACTCCAAACCCCTCGTTTCATGGAGGCCAAGAGAGGGGCGGCAGGGGCTGGCCCAAGGTCACGAAGGCAGGCGGGCCGGGAGCAGCGGCGCTGGGGTCCAGCCTGGCGATGCGGCGCCCCGGACCCGGCCCTGGCCCGGCTCCGCGGCGCTGGCACGGGCGCGGGTCCCTCCGGCGCCTCTGTCAGACAGAATGCGGCACTCTCCGGGAGGGGAGGAGGAGCAGGGCGCGGTGCCAGGAGCAGCCGGCCTCCCGGGGCCCGCAGCCCGCCCGGCCCTGCCCCGGCCGCCGCAGCCCCCAGGGCCCCGCCGCTGGCTCGCGCCCACCCTCATCCCCTCCCCCTCCCCCAGGAGAACCCGGCGCCTCACCCCCCACCCTCCGGCCCCGGCCGCCGGCTCTCCGCCCAGCTCTCGCGCCCCGGCCTGGCCACTCCCCGCCTCCCTCCGCCTCACCTGCCCTCCCCGCGGCTGTCCGGGCCGGCGGGCCGGCGGCGCTCAGGGCTCAGCCCCAGCTCCCGGGCCGCCGCCGCCGCCGCCGCAGTGGGTGCGAGGCTAAAGCTGGGAGCCGAGCTCAGGCCCTTCCGCTCATGGCTCCGTCTTCAGCTGCCGGGGCCCAGCTCGGCCGACCGACGGTCACCGCGGCCAATCACTGAGCGCGAAGCGAGGGCCGGCGCAGCCAATCCTGAGAGAGGGCGGGGCCCTGGAGCCGGGGCTGCCGGGAGGGCAGCCTCTGGCCCGAGCTGTGGCAGAGCTGGACTGGAGGGGCTCCCGTGAACCTCGGATTGTAGGTGTTCTGGACGTGCCCTGGAAGTAAACATTGATCCCGTCACCTTCGATGGACAGAGAGGGCAAGTGATCTTAACGTCACCCAGCCATGTGGGGCCAGGTAGACACCGGAATCCGGTTGTCTTGCTTGCCTACCCGAGATGAGAGGTAGTTCATTCATTCGACCAGCATTGGTGAATCATCTGCTATGGACAAGCTACTGTTCTGCGCTCTCTGCTTTTATTTCCCTACGTGTATCTTGGTGAACTCATCAGTTCCCATAGATTAAACAGTTATCTCTGTGCAGAGATGGTATCCAATTGATAGCTGGTGGTGCCAGACTGATGGAGTTCAGGAAAGACTCAAACTGCATACACATGTATTATATACAATATATGTATACATAATATATGCAATACACGTACCCACATGTGTATTCAGCTCCGGTCATTCTTGAACTCTATCAGTCTGGCACCACCAGCTGTCAATCCGATATAAATTATATGTCCTTTTAAGCATCTCAAAGTCAACATGTCCAAAACAACTCATTATCTTCCTTCCTCCCTCCCCCCATCTGTGTCTCCCTATTTCCCTATTTCTGTTGATGGCTTCTCCCTTCTCCCAGGTCTTCCATCTTAAAATCATCTTCTACTCTTCTTTAAAAAAAGCTTATTACATTTTATTTTATTTTCATATCCTCATTCCCTCCTTCCTACCCTCCTCACCCCAGTTCTTCTGTGTGTCCCTATTTTACCCTTCTGTTGAAGGCAAAATCATCCTCTTCTTTAAAAGATTCTAATTAAATTTTATTTTATTTTCAGATCCTCAGTCTCTCCTTCCTATCTCTCTCCCCCAATTGAAAAACAGCAAGAAAAACAATTCTTGTTGCAAACATGTATAATCAAGCAAAATAAATTCTGCACATTGGCCATGTTAAAAACAAATCTCAATTTGTACTCTGAATCTATTACTTCTCTATCATGAGGTTGGTATCGTGTTTCATCTTGAATCCTTTTCATGATGGTGTTGAACAGAGTTCCTAAGCCTTTCAAAGTTTTTTTGTCTGTATAATATTCCTGTTATTGGATAAATTGTTCTGTTTCTGCTCACTTTAATTTTTCCATCTTCTGCTCTTTGATCTCACCCTCACTCCCTAGATCTAATAAGTTGCCAAATCTTGTTGAATATACCTCCAAAATCTCTCAAATCTATTCCCTTCTATATATTCACATAGTCACCACCCTGGTTCAAGCCCTCATTACCTTTTGCCTCTACTAGTGCAAAAACTTTTTAATTGGTCTCATGCTTCCAGTCTTTCTTCTCTCTTAATATGTCCTCCACATAGATGCCAAGCTAATATTACCAAAGTTATAATAATAGCTAGTATTTATATAGGACCTCCTATGTGCCAGGCACTTTTATGTGCTAAGCACTTTACAAATATTATATCATATGATCCTCAAAACAACTTTAGGAGGTATATTGCTATTATTATCCACCATTTTACAGACGAAGAGACTGAAGCAAGCAGAAGTAAAGTGACTTGCCCCAGGCCATGCAGCTGGTAAATGTCAGAGGCTGGATTCAAACTCAGGCCTTCTTGATGTCAGAAAGAGCGCTCTATCCACTGAGCCACCTAGCTGCCTTTAGTAAAGTTCTGACCATGGTGCTACCCTGCTCAAAAGCTTCTAGGGGCTCCCTGTTGCTTCTAGTATAAAAGCCTCTGTTTGGCTTTTTAAAGTCCTTTGCAATCTGGCTTCAGCTCAACTCTCCAGACTTACTGCACATTACTTCCTTATGCACACTCTATGTTTCAGCCAGACCGGCTTATTTCTTGTTCCCCATACATGGCATTTCATCTCCCTCAGATATACCTTTGCTTGGGCTATCCTCCATGCCTGGGAGGCATTCTCTCCTCACCTCTGACCCAAAGACTCTCTGGCATCCTTCAAAAACCCAGCTCAAGTGCCACCTCCCAGTTACTAGAGCCCATGAGCCCCTATGAATACTTTGTAAATATGTTGTATTTACTTTTTTGTGTGCGTGTTCTTCCTTAGCCAATAGAATATAAGCTCTTTGAAGAATGAGACTGAATCCCCAGCCCTGGTATAATGCTTGGCAGAAAATAAAATAAATGCCTGCTGAATGAACAAACAAATGAAGGGGAGAGTATTTTAGACATGACATGTGTTATCTTTTTTGATTCTCACAACTGCCTTGTGAGATTGGTATGACCTTCTCCATTTTGCATGTGAGGAAACTGAGATTTAGAGAGGTTAAGTGCTTTGCTTATAGTTGTATGGTCATGTAGTTAGTAAGTAACTGTGTTGGGATTTAATCCTAGGTCTTTCTGGCTCCAAGGTCAGAGCTCTATCCATTACCCTAACGCTGTCTCACTAAATCAGAACAGTCAGTAAGTAGTTCATTTGGACAAGAGGCAGAACTTGCAGAGGAGGAGGATGTGGTATAAGGCTAGAAAGGAAGGTTGGAGCCAGAACGTAGAGAGATTAGCCTTTCAAAGAGAAGGGCCAACTTGACTTTTGAAAAATAGTCATAGAAGTTGAGGTTGATAAAAGGCTGGTATTGAATTAGAGAGGAAGACTAAGTCATTAGGGGAGATGGGAGAGTGCCTTAAAGAATGGACAATTCAACAATAATTTTTAAGTACCTACTATGTGCCAGGTATTATGTTAAGTGAAAGGGATACAAAGATATAATAAAGGAGTCCTTGCCCTGAAGAATCTTATATTTTATTGGCAGAGAAGGGACAACATGTACATACTTATATAAAAATAAAATATATGCAAAGTTTTTTTTTCCCCTGGGGGGCAGAGGGTAGTTTATTAAAAATAGAAAAAAATCTATCTGGCCATGTGTAGTAGCAGCAATATCTACAAGAGTCTCTGCCTTGTAGACTAGGCTAGTTTTTTTCCCTAAAACAAGAAAGCTATCTCTGAGACTTGATCAATCAGTTGAATCCTTTCTATAAGCAATGATGGTATTGATTTGATCATGGTTCCCAGAGCAAGAGGTGGAAAGTGGGAGAAGGACTGGTGCAGCAATACAGCCGATAGATGTCATAATGGGGTAGTTCCAGGTTAGGAAGGTGCATGGCAGCAGTTAAGAAGATGGCACAGTGAGGTGCCTGGGGCTGGTGTTAAAAGCCAGGAAAGATTATAGTCTGGTAGTTCAGTTTCAGATTCAAGATTGAAATGAAATGAGGTATCTGCAGCCCACCTAGCAATTAGTAAAAGGAGCTTTGCTTAGCAATGTAATAGAAAGGGAGAAGCTAGGTGGTGCAGTGGCCTGGAGTCAGGAAGACATCTTCATGAATTCAAATCTGGCCTCAGACACTTACATGCCTGGGGGTGAGCAGATATTGTTACTCTGGCCTCTGATTATTTTGTAACTTTCCCCTCCCCAGATTTCCAAGCTTTCTTTAAGGACTTTTGTATGGTATACAAAACAAATTATCTGGTGGTACTGTAAGATACCTAACCCCCTCCACAGCAACCTAGTCATTCTCTGCCTCGGTACTCTAGGTAAACCCTGTTCCCAGCCCCCCCTTCTTGGGTACCCCAGCACTTGTTGCGTGGTACCTCAAGCTGCAACTCCTTTACCTCGATTAAAGACCTTCATTTTGTTATATAGACTGTTTTCATTAAAATTTCAGGTTGACACCATGCACTTAATAAACGTGTGTTTCCTCACTTCCAGCTCTCCCAAAAGGAAGTCAGGGCCTTTGAAAGGTGAGAGCCTAGGGCACAAAGAAGGGGAGCATTGGAACTTTTCGAAAGTTTTATATTTACGAGGCTAGAGGGATTCAAACAAAGACATCTTTATATGCATATATTGGACTACAATAAAGAAAGATGCTGAGACAGCAAAGAGATTTGAAGGAAGTGTAAGGTGTTTGAAGTCTGTTCACTTGGGCAACGAGAGAAAAGGAAGGAGTGGCAGGAAGTTGGATTTCTACTTAAGACCTTCTTAGAGACAACAGCTGTGCTTAGTTTCTGTTTGCATTTCAGCTTTGGCAGAAACCTGCTAATTATGGATCAAAGCAGCAAGTAGTTTCCTGGAGTAAGAGAAAAGCCCAATACAGATAAAAGTATCTTCTAGAAATTACTGGCAATTAAGCCCCTCGAATAGCAAATAGGCCCCCAAAGCTAGCACCAAAAGCAAGAGAAAACTTTGACTCATGAGAACCCCTTGAAATTTTAAGGGGTTTAATGCATATTATCTTATTTGAGCCTCCCAACAACTCTGTAAGGTAGATACTAGGGTTATTATTAACCCCATTTTACAGATGAGGAAACTGAGACTCAGGTTGCAACTTGCCCATGATGCAGCGTCAAGATTCAAACCAAGGACTACTTTGAATTCAAGTCTTGCCTCTCAAAATCTCAGTTATGGCAAGTATAGAGAGCATAGATCCTTTTATGGTAAGCCACAGAGAGATTTGCACAAATTTATAGTGGTCTCCCAACTCAAGAAGATCAATTGCTTTCCAGGTTATTAGGAAGAATGAAGCGTTCATTGAAAGAATGGAAGCCAAAGGAAGAGATGGTATAAGACGATGCTGGTGAAAGCAGTCAATGTCAAAGGCTGAAGAGGTATCAAAGGAGATGAGGACTAAGAAAGGGCCCTCATGTTTGGCAGTAGATAATGTTGTTCAGTAATTCAGGATAATCTTGGTGAGAGCAGTTTCAGTAGTGAAGTGGGGCTGGAAAACAAATTGAAAAGAGCTGAGAAGTGAATTAGAGATGAGGAAGTAGAGGTAACTGAAAGGGAAGACAGTAGTTTGAGGGGATGAAAAGGTTTTGAAATTATGAGTAAAAGAATTGTAGAGGTTTCAAAAGAGAA